TTAACACAGAAGAGGAATAAATGACATCTGTCATCAACTGAGATTTGTTGGTTTGGATTGATGCATCAGATAAAGGTTAGGGTCCTCATACCTTGGGGGAGACAGTAAAGCCTTATTGTCTTGCTATGAGGTGTACAGTACAGTATTCTTATTAATATAAAGGAGCTTTTGGTACCTCTCTTCTTCCTAAAAATGGGAAATAAGTTTCAAGAAAACATAAATTTCATTATACCCTGTACTGTATAATACAATGGCAATGGCCTTTGTTAAAAATTAGGGATCAACATGACCCCTTCCCCATTTTTCTAAGGACATTTTTTCAGACAGTCTTGGAGCTTCCTGTTTCAATGTGGTCACACACATATTGCAGGAAATCTGAATATGAATGAAAAAGCGGTGCTATGTCAAGAAATCCAGTGATACCACTGGAATGTACATGGATCAGGAGTCCTTCTTTTCAATGTTACCTCTGGGGGTGAACCCAAAATAATACCTTTATTGCAATGGCAAATAATCACAAGGTTTCAACTTTTGATTCTTTGATTCCTCAATAAGGATCTGTGGTGATAAAAGCTATCAGGATCAAAGACCAGTAAACCAGTTCCCTACTGTCTGGCTGTTGATTGATTTTGGTCCATTAAAAATATAAACAATTTAATCCCTGGGCTTTGGATCATATCATATGATGCTTTGACCTTTAGTGGGCCTATGTGAATAAAAATGGGCAGGCCAAGTAGGTATTTATGTTTCACTCACACGTGAAAGCCTCCCAGTCTCTTCTCAGCTTTTGTGATGTAGAAATCTTGCCCTTGGACTTGACTCGCTTCACGTTGTGTTTCAACCCCCAAACCCCCAAGCACAAGTCTAGTACAGTACTGTGATCAATTTCTGGATTAGTAATAATGATTGCTAATATTAGTGAAAATAGTAATAACATGGTAAAACAAGTGTCTTGTACCTCATACTGCCTGCAAATTAGTGTTGTTTACCTCGTACTTCAGTGTCACACACAAGCCAAGTCACGAACATTCTTGACTCTTTCTAACCCCTGCGTTATCAACCTGTGGTAAGGACATGTATTTATTTCCTGTCTATATCATGCATGACCAGTCTTTATGACTAGAATGATTACAAAATGACAGCTCTTCATACTGCATAGCCACTTTCAGCCTCCCTCATCAGGTTCCTATCTGAGGCCACTTCTTATCCCCAACCTCTCTTCCCCACATTCAAACTCGTGCATCTCTCGACCCAGTTGGTCTCCTCAATTCTCTCCAAATGCTGAACCTTCCCAACCTATTTTTACACAAAACTTCACGAATGATATGGATTCAAGTGGGCACTGAAACTGTATTGAAATAAGTTTGTCTTTTAACTAGGTTGATATTCATGTTATTGTAAATCTTTTCTCACTTTAAATTCACCTCTGCATGCCAGTTCATGAAAAATGCTTACCCGGTACTAATTCCAGGAAGACTGATTATTTTCAGAAAACCGTGAAAATAGTGTACGGATAAAAGATTCATCTTTCTCCCGAGATGCGGTACTTTTATGTGGCCCTGAGACTATACCCATCTTTTCACTCGTACGCAAAATGCCATGCAAATTATGACACAAAGATGCAGACCAAGACCAAACAGCCAGGTGTTACAACCAGGCGTATGATATATTATGAAGGATACAATACCATGGTAGCGAACAGGAGGAGCGAGCAGAAAGCCTGATGCCAGTACCGAGTCAGCAATAGTAGACAGCCCCGACCCAGCAGCGGCATCAACCAGTGATGAAGATTAAGGAATTTCAATTTTTTGTGACTATTTTATGTGAGAAAAATTGCACTTATGTGACTGTCTGAGTGTGTTGTGTGAAGTGTGGCTGGTGGTGCAGTGAGTAGCAAAGCGAGTTGCGAGGCAACCGCACTAAGTGTCTCACCGTCCATTATCATATGTGGATCTAAGCTACTGGGTTTCATCTTGTTCTGTACTATTGTGTAATGATTGTATAGGTTACGAGTTATGTAAGATTATTGTTTATTGAATTATTTGACTCAATAAATCTTTGTCATGTTCTCTGATAATATTCCCTTTAGTACATTTAGTATTAAACAAAACATGTTGAACCAAAGTGAAAAATGTATGATAATTTAACTCAATAAATATAAAATACCTAAACTAAAAAATCAGTACATTTTCAGAATTTAAAGTACTGTACACATTGTATGGACAGTAATTCTTAGGTTCAACCTTGAGTTTGTCAGTTTGACCACATTACATCCCATGTGCTACAGTCACCCTTACAGAGAATGAGTCATCTGTTCAGTCCACATGCACACTCACTTTAATGTAATACAGTAGATTGCTTTATATAGGTTGGCTTGGCAAATTAACATTACTATAGCCATGCACGTATCATTTTCATCATCTATTAATTTTTTATTTTTTAATCGCACTATATTATTGAGTTATTTAGTAGATACAGTACTATTAAGTCAAATAAAAAAAGTGGCAACTATGCAGTGGGTGGCCAGCCGTACGGACTGTGATTGGAGAAATTTACTTTGATTATACATACATAAATATTTATGGCACTTAATACAGCTACTGAATTTTGGTATTTTAAAGCACACTAGCATGAAAACAATATTTGCTTGTACCTGTACTGTTTTTATTATACATACCACGAGTCGTGTGCTTTATCAAGTGCAGTAAATATTTGTAAGCAGGTTACATGTCACCACTTGTAACTGGGTACACGTGACACAGTTCACATGAAGTTGGCAGCCATGAAGTTAACACCACTGCACACCCTGACACAGACATTTATTGAGTTATATGCCTGAAAGGTATTACAGTTAGCCACTAAACAACCAGGGAAAGAATGATAGTGGTGATACATAACCTTCGCATATACTGTAATGGAGTTGTTAGAAGCTCGTTATACAGTATCATTTTTTCTCGTGGATGGAGACCCCCAACTGTGCTTAGGGCTTAACTGTGCAAGTGAACCACCCCCCCAAGCTTGGTAAAATGATCGTCTACTGTACTGCATACTGTACCAGTCAACTGTATGATTGGATTTTCTTTGTTGTTACTTCACTGTTTAATGCCAATTTAAATCCACATTATCAAAAGTGACTGACAAAAAATCTGACAAATTACTGTAGACAGAAGCAATTAATTACTGAGGGTCTCAATGTAAATTGTTAATAATGTCAAGCCTGAAGCAACTTCCAGCAGAATTTTTTCCCTAAAAGCTATCTTTAAATGTATAGTACGGGTATATTGCTCTAAAACCTTCCCAAAAGAAATCAAGTTTTCATTATTTTTATGAACACCATAAAACAATGGTTGGAGGGACCCTGGGATTGACCTTTAAATGTCATTATAGCCTATGTTAGATGCTGTGAAGATGGGCAGTGGCAACAGTGGCAAAAATATCAAATATTATGCAGTACAAGTACAGGTATTGGTATATAGTTTATGGTATGGATTTTCACCTCCAACAAAAGTGTGCTTCAGAGAGTAGATTAATCCAAAATATTAACACAACATCTCCCCGAAGTCTGATTAAGTCCAAACTCTACATAAAAGTTTGTAGTATCCGGTGTTTCAAGATATCAAAAGTAAATTTTCAATCTGCATACATTCTCTGATTAATAAATGGAACTACTGAACGACAAAGGAATAACCAAACAATGTTATACATTACAAATGAAAGTACTGTAATATTTAAACTTAACATTTAATAAAAAATTTGCTTTGAAGACACTGTACATAAAATGTGATTTCTGTTAGTAACATTCAGGATTTAAAATAGAACAAACAAAAGTGTAATACAGTACAGTATCACCATTATACACGAGGCGTGTACGACCAGCGTGGACAAAGCGCCACTATGGTCAAAATCTAAATTCATTCACAAAAGGATAAGGAAACCACCTCTGTATCCCGAGAGAGAGAGAGACTCGGTTACTCAGAATGGAAGTGTCAATATGGTCGATTTTGATAGTAAGTAAAACTACCCAAGCATCATTACATGAGGGGCTGGAAAGTGTCGGAGGTCTCCATTTTTTTTCTGGCCCTTTGTCCACCCTCGTCGTATGCGCCTCATATACCTATACTTATCCCTCAGCATTATAGGGATACAGTATTGATAAGTGCTTCATCCCACTGTTGCATAGAATATCTTGTTTAAAATTTTGCTTTTCGTCAACCTACAGTATACCGTACAGTACTGTAATACTGTATGGTAATTGCATTTGACAGCGGAATATTAACAGCCTGCCCAAAAAAATTCTGAAGATTTATTGAGACAAATGAGAAACTACAATTTGTTTTAAACAATAATAGTTTTTTGCCATTCATGTGAAAGAGTCACGTATCTTGAGGTTAAACAGATATTTTCCAAGAGAACAAATACTGCATATATCATTAAATGTTTATTTTTCCTGCTGATGTGTCAAAATGTACTTGTTAATTTTTCATATCACTCATCCAATATAAAAAATATTACTTCATCAATGTCTTAGATTAAAATAAATGATCTGAGCAAATGTTTCACAATTCAGTTGTAATGGAATTTCATAAAGCAACTACATTAAAAATTTTATCAGAATCTCAATAAGGACACAAGAAAATATACACAGACCTATATAAAGTTCTATAAAATTCAACGACTTTACAAGATATTTTCTTCAGCTGTATACAGTACATGTATTGTGAAACCTGCCTACAAAATACACAAGCAACTATTAGTTCAGTACAAAAATAATATTAAGACATAAAACCATTTGTTCTGTTGAGAACATAAAGTAACCACAGGATGAACAATTTATAATTAAAAACCCACAAGTCCATCCACAATGGGCATTTGAAATCTTACTGGCGTGGTTTAATAGTGCAGCATGTTAAGTAGTTAATTTACATTAAAACTTCATGCCAATACTAGCATTGAAACTGGAAATTGTCAAAGTTATCTATAAATTTAATCACAATAATTCAGTAGTGTTGTTTAGGGTACCACATGGTATGAGATGCATCTCTTTCAACATATGTTTCTTGAGGCAACTGGTGGTGAGCCAAATTAAGTGCTGCTCCCTCATGTAATGCAGCCATAGCAACAGCTGCCTCTTGGTGTAGATTGCTGGTCTCATCCAAGCCTGCAGTTGCTGCTGCCACAGAGACAACCTGTTCTGGTGGTACCATTTCATGATGCATCATATGACTTTCCTGAGATATGGATTCTTCCTGTGTTATATGATTCTCTAATTCTAATGGATCATTATGTAGCTCGGCGTGCTCTACATCTATGGAGTCAGCATCAACAATTACTGTAGGTATATCTTCCAACTCTTGCTTTGCCTGGATTACTGATTGCATTTGAGATTCTTCATTATCTGTATGAATCTCAGCCTTAACTACAGCTCCTTCTTCTTTTGGTTCTCCATGTTCGTCCCCAGGTGGGGGATTCTTCCTGCGACCTCTCTTTCCATACCGACTCTTCTTTCTAGGCCGTCCACGGGGTCTACCCGTAGGCTTTTTTCTGTATGACTTACGACCACTACCAAGAGGTCTACCACGCTTTCTTTTTTCACCAGTGCACCTTTTTTTATGAGAAGACAAAGATGAACTATGTGTGAAAGCAGTCTGGCAGAATTCGCATACAAAAGGTTTCTCACCTGTGTGGGTGCGTGCATGATTTTTCAAAGCCTGCGCAGAGGCAAATGAATGGTCACACTGCTCACAGGAATATGGTCTCTCCCCAGTATGAACTCTCATATGACCAGGTAAATGGGAGCTACGAGAGAATGTTTTGCCACATATGCCACACATATAAGGTCTTTCTCCAGTATGAACACGTTTATGTAACCTCCAGTTAGAGCGCTGAGCAAAAGACATTCCACATTCACCACAAACAAATGGTCTTTCACCAGTGTGAAGTCTCATGTGATCTCGTAAGTTTGCATTACAAGAAAAAGTCTTTCCACACTCGCCACAAGGCACCCGTTCACCATTTGCTGCTCTTGCACGAGGCTTTGGCGGTTTAGGAGTAACGGGTGATTCTGGAGTTGGCGGAGCTGGTTGGGGTTGTGGCGGGTGAGTACTAACTATTATCTGATGCTGAGGTTGGGCTGGTACTGCCTGTAAGTTACCATACTGCAATTGAACTTGTTGATTAATTTGTCTTGCTATGTCAACTGTACCTAATTCTACTTGAACTGGAGCATTTGTGGTAATAAGGCCATCAACAGGACTGTAGTTATACCACATCATACTTGAAGTGTTCTGGTTGGTTTCCATCGTGCTTGGCTGTCTATTAAACTTGGCAGATGGAATGAAGTTCTAGACAAGCACCACCTAATTAGTGGTCACCTCACCACAGACATGTCTGCAATGAGAGAAAGTAATAACTGTAATCAATTGCAAAAAATCATTCATGCAATATATGTACTGTACACTACATGAAATTCTTTTAACATGCAAAATGATTATGCTATAAACCATCATTTGAGCCTTACAATATGGAAAAAGGCTAGATTTGTACTGTAGGGAATTTGTCAACAAGGGAAATATAAGACAAGGGTATATTAAAATGTTTTATTTAAAATCTGTTTCACAAGCATGGGATATCAGGTTGTTTTCTGATGCTGGCTTCCAATTTGCTCATTCAGGCTTAATTGTTGAGACATGGTGATGCTCCTTTCAAGGCCCCTGCTCCTCTCACTTCATCTGCAAAATTAAACGAGCAGAGCTTGTTTCTGTTAAATATCAACTTAGCAGCTATTACTCAATGCCAAATCTCTACTCTTCAACTAATTTTGCCATGATATTTGGAGCTTTCGAGCAATACTGACTTTTGAATCTAGATTAAAATGTGCATCATGACTTTCAAAACAACCCAGATACCCCTCACTTAAAACAGTGATATTATAAATGCATAGAATACATACCTCAAGATTGTCTCTGCTAACTGGATACATCTTCCTCATTCGTAGTGATAATAAATGACTTCAAAGGCTGGAACCTGGGTTGCTGAAAACAGGACGCTTTGTGATGGGCCAAAAGCACAAAATACACCATTTTTCTTGCAATCGTTCCAAGGCTTCCCATAAGGATGGGTATATAAAAAATTAACTTGTGGCACTCTGAAGACATGAACGTTGATATCGTACAGTAAGTGACGGTTTCACAATTTTCAAATGGTAGTACTGTACAGCATTTCCAATTACCTGAACATATATTTTTTTCAATACAGTATACATATACTGTACTGCATTACAAGTTTTCTTAATGGTCTGATTAAAATTAACAAATCATAGTCATTTCCAATCATTCCATTTTATACTGGCAGAATAAAATGCAAAGTAAATCTAGATTTTATGTGTACAGCAAGTTTCTATTGTTACCAGGCTTAAGAAAACAACTGGCAATTTTGAAGTTTCTGTCAAGTCCATAATCATGTCTTCCTGCTGGACATCTACGGTAGTCAAAACAATATACTGTACAGTACTGTTGATAATGTATTGAATCTTATTATATGACAACTAACGCAGAAAATTATCTAAATATCTAATATTTTCATATAGCTGCCACTTTGATTTACCAATACAGTATACACATTCTCTCATTTCATATTGGCCCATCCATAAATAAACAATGTCACTGAATCATACATTCCGTATGTACAATTCATGTACGGTACTGGTATTTGTTCATTTTACAAAGGACTCCATGACAGCATTAGAAAAACTGTCATGCCACAAAAAAAGTTAAATGTGGTCATGCTTAAAGAACACTACTGCATCTAATGTTGATGCCCAACCACAAAAGTGCAGCACATATCTATATCCTATTCTGCATAATCACATCTCTTTACTTGGCTTGTTAAAAATCACATGAAGTGAAATGTCCACCAAAGGCTGCAGAAAAAATTTCCAAGTGACATTTTAGGTTTCATATTCTATCATTACTTATAACATTGAAAATAAAAATGAAATGGTGGACCAGTTGAGATACTGAGCAACCTTCATGACACTATTCACCATTCAGATATAATACAGTACGGCACTCCTACATTTACTGTAAAGCCTTAAACAGTTGAACTTGACAAACATTCGATAAAACTGTGTGTTGCCATGTGATGGTAGCTCAATACTGTACACTATCTTTACTTTTTAGTTGAACAGACAGTTTAATTGCTTTGGATTGGTGAAAAAAAGCTATTACTGTACAGACAAAACAAATAAAACTGAAGTTTAAAGCATCGCTAAAATATTCGGCAAATTCTAGCTGGCATTTAGATGCCATTAGTTCTACACACTGATTTTTACGAGGAAAAAATTGCCGTCTGACAACCCAACCAACTCCACTTTAATAACAAACCACGGAGTTGTCCTGAGGGTACTCACATTTTCTTTTTTACATTTTGATACATGTTGTTGTCTTGTTTTTTTATTATTTGTGAGAAGATTTTCCCATTATTATTTACCGGGGGTATTTGTATGTTTTTTTGTTTTGTTTTGTGTGTCTACACACACACACATAATACGGGTAAAAGAAATAATTATCCTTAGGACAAACACAAGTAAAAATCACCCCTCCCCCCCCCGGCCAGGAAATGATATTCGCAGCCATTTTCAGACCCAAATCACCGCAAATTTTAAGGGCATGCTGTACAAGTTTTTGAGTCACACACAAAAAAAAATGGCACCCAATCCATCCCCTCTTTCTCTTGCACGATAACACAGTACAGTATACAGTACAGGTATTGTAGTATCAGTTCCTTTACATAATTAATGTAAGAGTCCAGGCAACTGTGAGTAAGCAGAAACTGACAGGCTCTTCTACTCGAGGTGTCGTCAATTTCCTAATTTAGTATAGATTTCCTTTCATCTTCCTTAATTAGTTTGTAAAGAATTTTGAGAAAATAATTTCTCCTACTTTCTTCCAGAGCATAGCGTGTGTTTAAATATGGCTCAAAATTTTTAATTACATTACTACAGTACAAAGAAAAATCAAAACTAACACAACATGTCTCAATATTCAAGCATGTGTAAGGTTGACTGCTATGAAAACTATTAAACCTTGATTTACTGTGTTTTTAAAGAAAATACAAAAGCAGATATTCCATTAAATTAGACTGACTTATTTTCTCTTTTGACTGTTACCCATTGGGGTATCTGTTGGCTTTCTGACATTTTTGAAATGGCTAACAACACAAAATTGCAATGTAAAACACAATAAACACCAGTGCATAGCTGTTGCTCATGTGGGTCCAGTCGCATCTGGCTGGCTTGAGTTCATGCAGGTGGCTTGGCCCATCACAGAAAATTTTAAATTTTCTCACAATCAGATCTTACATGTTGAACCAGTATTACTGCATACAGTATATGCAAAATTTTAACTGGATTGTTAAATACAACATTTTAAAAGAACGACTTACACCATCCAGTCATAACCCAGGGACTCCCTGTATCGTATACTACTGAAGTACTTATTAAACTACCAGTACAGTAGTATACATTACAGATATTCTCTATCAATTTATTGAGATTTTGTGTGTTATATATCTAGTTTAGTTTGTTTTGGTTGAGCAAGGTGTTTGAAAATAAGCCCCCATTAATGTCTCCCTTATAGAGCACCTATCTATTGGTTATTCCCCTTCACTACATGAAGTTTTACTTTATGGACACCTTCCCGGGAACACAACTCTTTCATTTAGCCAGGTCGGCTTGTACAGAACAGAGAATTTCCACGTTCTAGATTTGGGAACCACCAAATTTTCAAAATTAAGAATTCTGAATTCAGGAGTGCCAAATTGCAGAGATTACTGTGTTTATGCAGTAAAAATTGGCATACAACTTCAAACTGGTTCAGCATTTACACAAACAGTGAAAATATACAAATAGCAAACAAGTTCAATTTAAACAAACAAATCTTAATGCTCAGGTAAACAAAGATAGGTGGCAGTAGGCACTAGCAAAGGCAAATTTCTTTAAAAAAAGAAAAACGAGGGACACAAACCAGAATACTGTAGGAGAAGTGCTATTCCTCCACCAGATTTGCTTTATTTTTGAGGTAAGAAATAAGTTTTCTTCTATAGATATTTTTCCTTATGTGGCTGGATAGCCTGGGCAACTGTCTTTAAACTTTTACTGTTTCTATATAAATGTGAAAAGGATGGTAATTTAATTTAATAAAGTGTTTGTTGAATATCAGTGATGGTGTCAACAAACAAAACTGCAAATTCTAGGCTAAGGAATACCCCAAAGAGAGCTACACCTGTCAAGTAACAGTGTGGTGTGCTATTATTGCATGATACATCATTGGAGCATATTCTTTAAAGGAAATACTGTACTGTAACTGTGACGGTAAACTCTGAATGTACCTTAGATATGCTGCATAGCTTTCTTAATCTTGAATTACAGTACAGTACAGTAAGATCTAATATTTTGCGCGATTCATTTCGCAAGCACTACCTAATGCAACCAAGTCTTTATTTGACATAAAATATCATGAATTTATCGAGATCCAGCCATCTGACTGCTGGCCACCATCTTGAATGACATCACAGCCCTCATACCAGTTACAGTCATTTCTGCTACAACGCGTGTTTGTCAACGCAAATTGGTTGCAACGCGATTGATGAATAGGGGAACGCCGTTTGTAAAACGCAAACTTTTGCATACGAACGTTGGCTATAGCATGATTCCATCCTCAACAAAAAGGGGAGAGGGTTATAAAACAATTCTCCTTACTCCATCAGGGTTTACATGTGAGGTAAAAATTTTCATGTCAATAATCTCTTCAAAAAATTCATACAGTAGTTTATCCGTCATTGCTAACTTTAGTACTGTATTGCCACAATGATACAAAACAAATTAACCTTTAAAAAATTATCATGATCGTTAGGTTAGGTTCAGGTCCTCTCTCAATGACGATCTAATGTGGCAATCCCAATCTCCTAGGTCAACAACCGACATGACGTTATTTAGGTGCAAATTTAACGTGCTTCAAAGTTCTAATTTATTTTCCAATGTGTGACCCATTTGTTTAACAACACATGGAAGATAACTACGGCCATGTGTACACAGTACTGTACTGTATCTCACAATAAGTAAACCAATCATTAACTATTACTCTTGTTTTTATCATTTTGGACAACATTATCAGTAAATTTTCAGTTACTCATTTTAAATAATATCTTATTCATAATACTGTACGGTACTGTAATTGGCACCTCACTTTCTTTTGTAATGGTACTGTACATTCCTACCAGAATTAGACTTCAGTAAAGTGCAGTGTACAGTAATAGGTATCTCAAGATTTATACAAGGATATAGAGGCAGTGGCTTATTGGCCACTGGGTCCACCAATAATGTGTTGTTTTTAGATACATACTATGCACCATACAACTATGACTAAAAACACAAAAATCATTAATCTGAATTGGGTAGTCTTGTATTTAATTAATGTAAAATCACTTGGCAACTCCTTTCATCCCAGAAAAAAAAAGATACAGTACTGTACAATATTATACTGTTGTTCATAAAATGAACCAAATTAACAACCTAAAATAGTAGTTATCTTCTATCATCAACAAAAAATTTATTTTTTATTAACCCTTACGCCCCGGGTGAAAGCCGGGCCGGCACGTGCGCCATTTCCCGCCACTGTTTGAATGCCCATCGCAGGTTAACAGGTACCAGCGTGACTATTTGTCTGTCACAGCACACGGAGAGAAACGTGGGTGGGTTCAGAGCAATCAGTAACCATTTCCCAGTCATCAAAGAGAGTCACCCGTCATCTTCCACTCCAATCGAGCATCCCTGCCATGGGTTGGATGATAGCCAGGTAAGGAAAAACCTATTTGATGTGAGTGCTGTAGTGGTCGAATCTGGTGAAAGTGGTGAGGAAGGCAGTGATTATATGCCTAGTGATCCTGATGATAGCATCGAGTTAGATGATGTATGGGAGACAGGTGAGGATGAACATGACGCTAGCAGCGAGGCCCAGCCAGGACGACGTATCCCCGCCGTGCGCTCACGGCTCAGACAGGGAACAATGGATACCTTTCTTTGATCTGAGGGCAGTAATTTTCAGCCTGGCATCCCTGATTTCAGACAATCATCAGGTGGAATTACTCCTGACTTTCCTTGTACAGAGGAATCACGTGAGATGGACTATTTTGTGCTTACTTTGATGGTGCAATCATGGACTTACTGTGAACGAATGTGATAACGTGGTGTAAGGAGTGTGACGTTGGTCTGTGTAAACCATGCTTTATGGAGTACCACTCTAAGAAAACATTCTTAAACAATGTGGCACGTGCTTGTAAATAATAGTGTAAGTGTATATGTAAGGAACAAAGTGTAACTACCCACGAGCACTGGCAGACAGCTAGTTAGGCGTCAGAGTATCACCAACACAACCACGTATCATCATCATCATCATCATCATCATCATCATCATCACCACCACCACCACCACCACCACCACCACCACCACCACCACCACCACCTCAGCACCCTACGGGTGGTCAGAGGGAAGCTTCTTGGTAAGTACCTTCTTTTCTTGTTTATTTTTCATTGTTTGTCCATATTATCATGTTGTATCAAAGTAATACAGTATTACGAAAAGGAGTGTAGTTGTATTGTAGTGTAGTATTACTGGATGATAATGCTATGATTATGTTATAAATGTATTTATTTGTGGAATTATTATTCCCATAATTATTTGTATACCATCCATGCTCTCCCAAACACAAAGACAGCCTGGCGACAGACTGCGTATGTTTGTCGCCGAGCACATTTTATGAAAAGTAATGGAAATAAAATACATTCTAAATGAATAATTTATGGAAAATAAGTATTATGATCAGTAAATATATACATTGTTGGCCATCCCGGACACAAGGCAAGCGGAAAAATGACACCTTATGTGTGTTGTGACCGCAAGCGCTCGAAGCAAAAAAAAAAAAAAACTTTCCCCTTATTTGCCTCATCACTGAGGTGCCACGGAAGTTTCTAAAGGGGCAATGCAGAATATAGTTTTTCTTACATCTTTTTGATTGTTTTGTTATTTATGAAATTAAAAAAATTATTTTTGGAAAAGTTGATTCTTCTCATTTTACTCAGCGTGGGGAGTATGGCCAGCAACACGCTAGCCCAGGGCACAAGGGTTAAAGAAAACAATGAGTCCATTCTCAAACTAGCATGGTAGAGAAATGACAGCATTTATAGTGTCGGAATGGTTCTTTTGGCACAATTTAATTATATTCTATCTTAGAAAATAAAATAAGAAATAACTTGAATAGTTTAGATTGTAAAAATATTTTGCTATTTGCTAGCTACACAATGTTACTTAAGTTTTGGGTGTTGGTGGTACAGCAATAACGAGCGTAACTCTCGCCAATATGTCAAGGGTTTGAGCCTCAGCCAGGACACTCGCGAGAAGGGAGTTAGCCAGTGTGACCCTCACTACCAAACATCACAGGTTTTTCAGTTTCCTCCTGTACTAACACTGGATAGACCTCCCCCCGAATGGCTAGTAAGCTAAGTGGCAAAAATCATAAATAAAATAAATAAATAAATGGTG